GGTCGTTGCGCAGTTGCCGCTGCAGGAGAGGGGGTGGCGCAGGGCTGAGGGGAAAGGCGTTACATTGGGGCTACGAACCCCACTACGCTTGTAAGGGAATCTTACCGTTTATTTATTTATGTATCACTTGCTATTATTTATCGCTGTTGTTAGACCAGCGTCAGTTCCTGTACGGCCCTTAGGCTGGCATAAGAAATTTTAACATGGGCAGGAATCGCATTCAAGTACTTTTTCACCTCAGACTGTATTTTGTGAGTCATCCATAGCTACACATTAAACCCATGAGCATGAGCGTTACTGCGGAGATCTGGTGCTCGGGAAAAGGAGTTTCCAAATGCTCCAGCAGCTACAGTGAGAACCTTTATTTTCCAGGGACTCTGAACAGAATAGTTACGTTCCTGGTTACCATCAGAAACTGTAGTTGGGAACAAGGATCATAAAACGGCACGATCAGCAAACCCCAAGACAGGAGGAGTTTGCAAGCTATAGATAGGGGTTTCATGATGCTAAGTGTTAATAGTTGCCCCATAGTTTAGTTCCCAGCAGGTAGCCTGCTTAGGAATTACCAATCCCTTTCCTTTTTTCTGCCAGTTCAAACACTTTGGTCAAAAGGAAGCTGAATGAGACTGGGCTCTGTCTCCCAGTCATACTCTGGGAAGAATCATTATTAAAATTTTGTCCCACTCTTGATCTCTCAAGCAGCCCATCGACAATATTCCTGCTACTCCTAAAAAATACTGAAATCTCTGCTGCTGTAGCATCTTTGCAGGAAAAATAACAGAAGATAACCAACTTGTTCAGCCATGGAGACCACCAGCAGCAGTATAATGCCCTGACTGAAAGAGTTGGCCCTCTTCTTTACTATTTGCTCCATTAATGGTGATTTAGACACTGGCTTTAATTCCCTATGAATAAACAGGATTTTTTTCGCTCTGTACTTGTTTTAATGGTGCGTCTACAACTGAGGTTACCAAACACAGTTTACCAGCACCAGCAGCTGCTACCAGGCTACACTAGGACTGCTCCTCAGTCCTAGTGCTGAGGAGTATGCTAGAATTGGCTCAGGAGTCATTGGACTATATATATAGAAGGAAATACCTGCTCTGCAGCTGGTGAGAAGGTATGTGAAATTGCCTTCACACAGAGAAAGCACAACACCTTGGCACTGGGGCACTGCTCCCCTTCTCTCACGTCCTCTCCCCCCGGCATGGAAGTGGCACTTCCCGTTGTCCCCAGTGTGGCTGCAACACCAGAACGGTAGCTCACCAGACAGCAAACAGCATTTGACTCTATATGCTGACCCTGCAGCCATACACCAGACTTTGCTCAGCTCAGTCACCATCTAACGTGCCTCAGAGTTAGAACCAAGCCCTGGGCTTGCCACTGCCAGAAGCAGAAAGGCTTTAGGCTCAGCTTCTTTCCCCCTACAGCTACATCCATTTGGCTTTCTGAAGTGTTCCCTACCGTTATTCTAAGTGTGGGCTTCAACAGGAATCCCTCTTGCCCATGCATGATTGATCCCACACGGCAGAAGCGGGGAAAAAGTTTCTGAGGCATCCATTCCCAAATCCCAGCTCATGACCTTCTCTGAGAGACCTAGTAGAGCTTGTGGTTAGGAAAACAATAACAAACTCAGCATCTTTCAGGAAAGAATTTCTAACTGTGTGAAATATTTATAATACTGACAGGCCAGGAAGTAAGCTGCAACACCAGACCTCTAATTGTCCAGGCTGCTTAATTGCTAGCTCACTCCCTAGGTTTTTTGCACTGCTTTTAATTAACCCTCTTCATGACAATATCCAGGGGTATGATTTCCGTGATAGGTCACTCAAAAGAGCGTTGCCAAAAAGCAGCGTGGGGTTGGAGAACCCTGCGCTCGAGACAGGACTCCAACAGTAATCATAAAGAAAAATATTTCACCATGGGGATGATGAAGCATTGGCATGCATTGCCCACAGAGGCTTGTGGAATCTTCTTTCCTGGAGATGTTCAAAACTTGTCTGGACAAGGCCTTGAGCGTTGATCCAACTTTGAAGTTAGCCCTGCTTTTTGAGCAGGAGTTTCGGGTGAGGACTACCTGACCTCCAGAGATCCCTTCCAACTTAAATTTTCCCATTATTTTTATCAGCAGGTTTTGACCAACTCAGATGCTCTCAATGCCATATCCTGGGGTCTGAAACACTTAATTTACCTGAAACAGATACCACTGCCCTAGCGGACTGTAGCACAGCTCTCCCGTATCAGGAAGTTTGAAACAGCCAAAACCACTGCGTCTTCAGGCCACAGGGCAGAGTCCAGAGGACATCCATGGCTACATGGTGCAAACATGGCCACTGTGTTCTGGAGGGAGAGAAGGCTGAGCAATGTGGATGCGAGCCTGTTCGTGCCATTTGGCATCAGGGTTCGGGGCAGTTCCCAAAGTCTGACCAGTAAGGCTGCAGACATAGGCTGAAGAAAAAGAGTTAAAGTGCTGAAAATTCAGCTTAACATGTAAAAAACTAGAACACGAACTGAATTACAATTTAAGTGAGGCATTGCTGAGTATGGTCTACCAAAGCCATGGCGTAGTCCAAAAGCCCAGCACTGTTACTATGCTAGCTGTTTAAACGTTTTTGAGGACTTGTACACTTTTCTAGTCTTGAACACAGTAAGCACTGCATTCAGTTACTGAACTGCTACTGTCTTGAATAACTGTACAGAAAAAAATAGTCAGAAGTACCCTATTGGCCAATAAACTGGAAATCTGGCGTGATAGTTACCTTACAGTGAAAAGAGAAGGGTGAAAAACTTGACAGGAAGGTACACGCTTTAAAGCTGGACAAGCTGTTTTCTCCAAAAAAACTCAGCCACTGTGTCTATTCAGAAAACAGACAAAAGAATCTATCTATTCTTTATGAAAAAAACTGCAGTTTCTTTCATTAACCTAAAAACTGAACTAAAGTGGGATACGCTGGAAATGGCACGTGCCTCCTTTAAATCAGGATAATAAATATTTTAAGACACAGTCACAGCTAAAGCATAGGGGGAGCCCAGGGAGCCCAGTTGCTTTCCCACCCATCTCAAGCACTCATTTCAGAGAGATGATACAAGTAACAATAACATAGCCTTTATTGATGACACTGGAAAGCAGATGTTTTAAATCAACTAATTTTTCATAAACAGGAAAGGAAATTTTAGTTGCTAGGATGTAGCTACATAAAATCTGTTTAAGTCACTAATGTGAAAAAAAGTGTTTGCATACTAGATTGTAGCATCACAGTTCCTAAGTAACTGTATTTTTTATAAGGAAGGGGAAAAATAAAACAGATTTGCATGGACAGAAGTCAATAGTATAAAACAGTTAAACGTATGTTACAGAGAAGTCTGTTAATTTGTGAGCTCAGTCCTTGAAGATGGCTAAAGAAGTAGGTCCCAGCAGGATCAAATCATGTATATTTACACTCACTAGTGTAAAAGTAATATTGCCAGCTAATTGAAATATGCATTTTCAATACTGTTCTAAAAATTAATGAAGCCTAGAAGGTCACTTTTAACCTCAGGTGTTCACATTTGAAATACAGTACTTCTTGCATCCTGTATAATTAAGGCAAAGCATGTTATCTTTTGAAAATACCTTGTATATAATTTCTGCATAAAAATATGAAATAAAACTGTATATATATATATATATATATGTATATATATATTTAATGGAACATTATTATCTATGGTCCAGCAGAATAAGGCACAAAAAGTAAATAAAATGCAAAAGTATATATAAAAGTTAACATGTTATTCTAAATGGAATATAGCAAAATTCAAGTCGTTCTGTATGCTTATTTCTTGCAGTAGGAATATATATTTTATACACCTATTTCATGCTAAGCCTGATGTACAATGATTCATCATGTAAGCATAATCCATTAAAAGGAGGTCATTTCTGCAGTGACTGTATTTAGAAATCTGTCACTTTTCAAGCTGTTTGAAACAACAGGACAACTTGGACTAGAATCTAACGGTGGATTTCTCCACGAAGGGAGGTAAGTTAATTTCTTGCCTAAGTCACTCAAAGTCTTATGTGCATGCTTAATTTGCACATTAATACTTTCATTAATATAAATGACACTAGAAGTACATAAAGTTGGACACATTTGCGAAGCGTGTTTTCTGCAGGTATTCACAAGCAAATTTTACCTCTATGTAGAATTCTGTAGAGGCTGTTGTGCACAGTGGCCAACTTGCCACTGTATTCAACTGTATTATCAGGGTGAAAATCCCTTCAGGTGAGTTTATACTTAATGTAGTCTGTATGCATGATCTATGTATCAACAAATCTCAAATAAAGAATTTGAAGATACTTAGATTTGATAGTTAGAAGGCATGCATCATCATTTGTTGTCTGATTGTAGCCTCAGAGCAGAAAGAATCCCTCAAGTAACATAGATAACATGTTTATAAAGGAAGGGGAGAGCAGTCTTCACTTTCTTCCTACAGTTTCAGCTAGTTTCTTCAGTCTTTTCTTCAGTTCTAGAGGAAACTTCTCATAGCACTTCTTGCAGACAGGCTTCATGTCAAACTCAACAAATTTATTCCTAAAGTGACAAAATAAAAACCAAACAGACAAAATAAAAGTCTTAGTGGCAGGGACTGTGGGGGGAAAAAAAAGCGACATTAACGCTCACAGGCAAAAAATTACAACTGCAATTTATACATAATGAAGTTACTTTCACAAAGTTACACATTGTGGACAGTAACTAAATTACTCTGTGGTGGGAGATGCTTTTTTTTTTTTTTGGTTCACCAAATGTCCACATTTATGAAGTGTGTCATTTAAAAAGCCTTTCAAACTGAATTTTAGAGCACAACAGTCTAAACATAAGATACCGAAATAACAAATTAAGATTTCAGATTGGGTGAAAATAGGTATTTTGGTTTTGATTGCCATAAACACATGCAAAAATGTAAAGTAAGAGCATCTTATCACTGACCAAAGAAGAAAGGAGCAGAGGTGGTGGTGGGAAGGAAAGGAAAGTTTACAAACAGATTGGCTTTTTCTTTTTTTGCTTATCTTTATCCTTTGCTTCGCGTTCCCGTTTGGCAAGTCGTCGCTTAAATTCATCTGGCATTTTCTCATAACAGTGTTTGCAGACAGGTTTTAGATCAATTTCAACAAATTTATCCCTTTAGAGTTAAACACAGAAAAAATAAAAGGACAGAAGAGAAAAGAGTTAAGACTAACTGAAGGAAGAACTGCACAGACAGCTGAAAAGATGTAAATTAGTAAATGGAGCTAGAGAAAGAAACATGCACATCTTTCCTCAATGCTTGATGGTATGAAAAACGTACAAACCAGTTAAACTATAGCAACATCTACACTTTAAAGATGACCACTGATATGTTTTGCAGGCATCGCACCTATCTGATAAACTTACTTGAGTGTTAACTTAGTGTTGCAAGTTGAACAAGCGAAACAGTTCACACACCATGCCTTATTCAGAGCAGACACAACTAGGACAAGGGGGGAAAAAGAAATCATTAGCATTTCAGAACACAGAAATATTCAAAATTAAGCCCACATGTTCATGAAACATGAAGAACTGTCGGCGTTTGATTCTCTTACCAAATATCAAGGACCATAACAATAATGAGGCAAGAACAGGAAGGCACACGTGAATGTAATGTAGGGGGACTGTGTAAAATTAATTGATGAAGAAGCCTCCGGGTACATGCAACTGTGTTCACCAACAATACCAGTTTTAAGATATTTCTGACTCCTGTTGCTTGCTTCCACCTCGTATCATAGCATGACCTCAGGCAACTGCTTTGTGAGGCCAGGTGGTAAACTAGATCGGGAAACTTCAGCTGAAAACCAATACAGCAAAAAGGTCTTCTATGTTTCCATCCTGTTTCATTTCTCAGATCCTGTTCAGACTGCAGCACCATAAAGAGTTGTGCTCTGCACCCAACTGAAGAAGGTGATGTGGAACCAGCAGTCAGGCCAGTGCTGGTAAACCAGCACTATGTGAAAAAAAATGCGGACGTAATGGGATAAATTACTTCAGAATATGATCAAGACAAACTTGGACATTATTTTAGTCTCTACTTCGGAGACAAAGTAAATGTTTTCTCGTTGTTCTGTATCTCTGTTCCACTTCTTTGTTTGTCCTCTATCTCTCAGTATGCCTTCCAACTTTTCCCTGCCAAAATTTGCCTGTTCCTTCTTAATCTAAATTGCAGGATGCAGGACTATGCTTTCCTCTTAAAATGCAACATGTTTTCAACACCAAACAAAAGCAGAACCTTGTCATGCAGAGCTTTTTCTACTTTTAGTACCAGCAGCTGCACTATGGGGCAAGCACTTCCACAGAAGCAGGGCTTGTCTCTAATTGCCATTTCAAATAGTTATTTCACTGCTTGCCAAAGGAATTCTAGTCAGATGGAAGTCTTCTCTCCCTAGAGATCTCTCTAATAGTCACAGACATCTTCCTGAAAACCTGCTGCTGCAGATGTTTGTTTTACCGGAGAGAGAGGCAAAAAACAACACTGGATATTCATCATTTATGACAGCAGGATTTTGTTCAAATTTGTGTTCGGAAATGTAAAATAATCAAAGATGTACGCTGGCAAAAAGAAATGACTCACTACGTTCTGTTCAGGTTGGTGACTGGAACATACAACGTGGGAGCCAGATTATATGGTGTAACATTAGGAACATACAGCTATCTACTTATCAAACAAGGCTGAATTTATTCATTCACCTCAATTTCCAGATCTGTTGATTTTAGCAGGATTTTAATGACAAGGAAGATGCTATTTCCTCCCAAAAATGTTCTGGGTTGTAGTACTGTAGGGATAGTCTGGTCCAGAAAACACGGGGAAAGCACATCTCCGGAATGTAGGTCCCGCCCTATACTTTGATGACTATAAACGAGTTTATGTCTCCTTTTATGTGCTAGAGGCTTCCTCCCACTTTGCTAATGGCTTTGGCTTAAGTGAGGCTAACATTGGTATATAGGATTTACTTCAGGCAGGTGTAACTAGTCACATAATAACTTTGCATTATTTCAGGTAGAATGATCTGCCTTTCTGGTATTATATCACAGGTGATTGTCCAAAAAAAAAAAAAAAACCAAAAAAACCCCCCAAAATCTTAAAATATTTGCTTCCAGTTAATGAGGTACTGCCTTTACAGGACACTTTTTTCAAAATATGACTGGTTTGTGGCAGTCTTTCAAAAATCAGCTGTCTGTTATAGACAGGTAAAGATCTCCAGAAACCAAACGGAAATCATGGGAACTAGACACTTAAAAAAAAATCCCTTTTGTTCATCTACATCTTTTGATAGCTAAACACTTTTTTCAATTTGGATCGTCATACCTAAACCTGTTTAAGGAGATGCTCACTCTCAAACTTGCACATGTTCTTTGTTAAGGTCAGTGGGGCAGGAAGCCACCTCTGTGCATCTCCCAGCATCCCTGGCCTTTGCGTTTTGCTAAGGGGTTTCCGGGTGATCGCGGTTCTCTTCAGCCACTGAGCGATCTTCCACCATCTTGGAACACTGTAAGGTTTTCTTACCATTTGGTCCCAGAGTAATCAGATTCTGACCTGATTTCTGATAAAGAAGTTGGAAATTTTTGTTTTAATGACAACAACCAGGTATTAAATAGGGACTTTTCCACTTTTAAAGAGAACCTGCCATTAAAATGAACATTAAGAAAACAGACAAGTGCTTACCATCTCCTTCGATCACACGATTGCAGTGGAAACAAACATCACCGAACAGCTGAAGAGGAAGGAGAAGTTAGGAATTTTTAATTGTATGGTGTTAGCCCGGGTAGCTTCTCAAACTAACAAAATAACTGCATTTCAGCTGATGGGTCAGAATAGCTTTCCTATTTATTTCAGTAAAATAAAGAGAATGCTGGTACGACTTGTTTGGTTTTCAAATCATCTTTTACATCATCCGATTAAAAAATAGTTATAAAGATGGAAATATTTGCTTACATCTGTTTGACCGTCTATAAACGTGATTTTGTTTCAACGTTTCTCTAATCCTTAACATTTGAAATACATCAGTTGGAATCGCATATAAATCATTAGTGCTCAGCCGATTTAACATTTGTATTTACACGCATGACTAGAACAACATATTGCTGTTTCTGGTGACATGTTAATTTTTATTTTTCCAAAAAAAGAAAATTTAGGCCAAAAAACATTCATTTTGTTTCTACGCTTAATATATGAGCACAGTGTTACAGTCCAAGAAGGGCTTCTATTTCCAAATTTTCATGTACTTTTTCTAACTGTAACAGTTGACCTACTAATCGACATCTGTTCTACATACAACTCTTGTCTAGCATTGAGTTCTTGCTCCATCATGGCTGCAACCCTATTACTATTAATGTCACTATGGCATTTATTATCTGCAAGTATGCCGGCAACATTTCAATCATCTGCCCTTTGTCACTGACGAAGTAAGAATCCATCTGTAATTAGCAGATGCCTTACAACTCCCAGATGTAATCCCTACTCTTGTATTTGCAAGCAAAGCGGTGTACGTGACACCTTGCGGTTAACTTCCAAATTAAAAAAGGTATATATATATATACTGTGCTACCGGACTAGACAATTTGAGGGAGTCTGGATGGAGATGGTAACACTGCTTATGACTCTTATTTAAATGAAAGTGGTCACTAGGTGGTGTCGTCTGACAAGTCAGTGTTTGCAGTCTTCAGGGAACACATGAATGAGCTGCGTGATCCAGTATATTTTAACATGCAGTCATCTTCGAGTAACAGCTGTAAGGAAAACCGCGCTACTCACTAAGGCCCAGTTAAACCACAGCTACTGAGTGACAAATTGGCTTTAGATTCTTGGGAAAGATTGGGTCTTATTAGCTGCTCTGATCTTGCAGACACGTAGAAGCTCAGAACAGCTCTACCTACGTAAGTACTGATAACTCTGAAGAACAACTAGATACTCATTATCCTAGGCAGTCTTTGTGACATCCCCGCAGATTTTTTTTCACGCAGATTTGTGAATAGAGAAACCTTTATAAATTAACTGCAACAGAACATCTACCGATTTTCAGTACCCCCGAAGATGATTATACGAAAACAGGACGGTATCCGTGATTTTTCATCTCACACTAATAAAACCAATTCACAAGTTCACCAATAATGCATTTTTTTAAATTAGGCAACCTTACCTGATTGTAGTGGGTTTCACAATAGGCCAAGCCTTTTCTCTCATAGTGACGATGACCCAGGAACGGTTTTTCACATTTTGCACAAACAAAATGCTACAAAGAAAATTGGGCAAATATTTTTTGTGTTAGTTGGAAGCAACGGTGGTTTTTCTGCACATTGAACTAACCAATCTCAGTACTGAATATCATTAAAAACTACGCAGCTAGTTGCATCATCTTGGAAAGAATAATACTTTGCTTCGTTTCTAAACTTAGACCACTAATAGAATGCGCATTTTAATGTCTTCAGTGTTTCAATCCAAAAGTTTAAAAAAATCAAGGAAACGGATTCTGATATGTTAGCAATAAACAGAATGAAGAGACTTTTAAAAACTTGCATCATCATCACACGCTCATGAAGAAAGCATTTGCTGGAGGAGATTTTCAAAACAACCAAAGGAATATGGCTGCAAATCTTCCTAATTTAAGTGGAAGATGTGAAACTAAATCTCGTGCATGGCCGTGAAGCATGAACTCTCACATGAAGAGCTTTAAATATATTTACGCGGCAGGTGACTATGGAAGACGTAATAGTATTATGATGCCTAGCAATAAGGGGGTTCCCACAGATCATTATAGCCTTTCTGTATGCTGCTTTGTACTGTAGCATTTTCTTCTGCAAGGATCTCATATTATTGCTTGCTTTGATTACTGATTTTAGCTTCACAGTGAAAGCTTTATGTGAGGTAGGAAAGCACACTTGTTTCACAGTGGAAGATCAAACACAAGAAGGTAGAAGACAGGATTAGAAGAATGCATTTATTAAGCATTTCTGCAGAATTTTCTCATCTTTTCATTGAAATCGATCAGCAAAACCCCAGATAACTATGTTAATGTTTACATTCGTAAAAAACAACAAACCATCTGATGTCTACCTCTACATGCCATTGTTTGCCCATAGCGTTCACCACACGTCCTTCAATTGGCCTTCTACATGCTCCACAGATGGGGACACCCATTTTGTCATGGCAGGGTAAACAATATAATTCTCCCTTCAACTCCCGAGCATCAGCAGTAAGTTCCTTCCTGTTCAAAAGTTAATGAATTGAGAGGATGAATAAAGGAACCAAACAATTTCAACTCATGAGCGTTTCTGAAAGGAACATTCAAGTTTTAAGCATTTACTTTAGAAACTGTATTTATACTACAATAATTGGTTTAAGTAGCAGCAACAAATTCAACAGCTTTTATTAATAAGACTGATTCCACACTAAACTCAGAAAGACCTGCTAAGTAAGATGCACTAATTCTCTCTGAAAATAGATAGTGAGCTACTATCATTCTGTATTCTGGTTATGTGATGCAAATGTGTTTGAAAGCGGCAGATATGCTTGGCTTGTATTCTAGCCTTATTATCACCAGGTTATTTTAGATTTACATAAATATAACTGAAAGTTAAATGTAGTCTTCTACACCTAGGTACATTTTCCCTGTTGCATCAAGCTTCCAGGAAAGAAAAATACACAATCATAGGAGATAGCTATGTTTATTTTTCCCAGGTACAGAATCGCATATACTCTTCTTTTTAATAATTTGCATGATTAGAATACTTAAAATGGCTAAACTTTAAAAGTGACTGTAATCACTGATGCTCTCAATTGGTTGCCCTTGACACAACATGTTTCTCAAACCAGCCTTTGCTATGGCACTGAAACAAAAGTTTCCTTTGCCTCAGAAATAAACAACTAATACATCTGTGCTGTATGCTATGATGCACCTTGATCTGTGCATCAGTGCAGGATGTAGACACGTGCAGCTACATATTCTGCATTTGCAAACAGTGGTAAAGTGAGAGAGGAGAAAGTTTCTAACAAAAAAGTAGGCTTCAAAAGGAAACAACAAAGTTTGCATACAACTTGACTAAAAAGAAATAACAGAGACAAAATAGTAACTCAAGCAGCCAAAGAGGATTGCTTTTTTTTTTTTTTTTCCTTTCATAACAGAAAAATAAGCTGTCATTTTGCTGCTCCAGAAACCATTGCCTTTGGCCAGACTTCATATTTTCTAAGATACCACTTTCTGCTGCTAATCTCTCACGACTCCCTGACAGGTCGGCTGCTGTCAGGACGCAGCAGCCTCTGGAACCTTGCAGCAGAAGCTGTGTGAGCTAAAGGACCAACTCCACCATCCCAGAAGCAATAACCAGTCAAACAACCCTATAGAGTCTGGCTGCAAGGGATGCAAATCCCACCCCTCTGCCAGTTATATGGGACAGGTTAATGTTTTAAAATGTAGGTGGATAAAGCAAAGGAAACCAGCATTTTCCTGTTCTCCTTTGCAGGATTCAGTTACCCGCAGTTGGCACAGTTGAAATGATCAGGGTGATATGGATCATTTTTGAATATGAGAGGCTGTTCATCAATAATGGCATGGCACTTCTGGCAGATGTACTTTCCTAGGCCTCTGGCTTTTTCCCGGTTATGGCAAGGACGGCAGAGATGTCTGAAACAGCATAAAAAGGAAAGATAAGTACTGCTAACCAGGTACTGCCGTGCAAAATACAAACTGAACATCTATTAGAACCTCATCTCAATCAGCCCTTTTTGTAGGAAAAAAAAAATCTTAAAAACAATGTGCCTGTTAGGCAAGCCACACTCAAAAGAGGGAAAGCTATGATTTTATTTTCCATCACCCCAGGAGTATCATTTCTTCAGCTCATTTGGATTTAAGCTGAGCTGAAACACAGAAGGCAAAGTTTGCTAGAGATTCTCATTGCTGAATGTTTTACTCTGAAAATCTCAAAAATTTAGGTCGGAAGCACGGATGACCCCATAGGTCCTATTTCTGTAAATAACTACACCCATAACATTCAACATAAGAAGTCAGTGGCCATGTAATCCATTTGCAAAACATTCCTGTAATCACAGTTGGTAAAAATATCCTACCCTGTGAAGGATGCCGCTGCACTTTAGGCAATTAGTAATAAACGAGGTGCTAAACCAGACTAAAATTGGAAACCCAAGTTGAACCAACAAAGTAAAAAAAACGGATAAAAAAAGACAGTGCTTCTGCACCTGAAGCACGACTGCTTTCCCTAGGCTTGCTAACCTAAAGCCATCTTATTTATAAGATATGCATAAGAAAGCTTTAAACAAGAAAAGTTTTAAAAGCACTGACTGCGATCATGCACTTGACTCTGCAGAAACACTACCAGAATTCCAAGGCTGTAGGAGATAACCATGCATACAAACTACTGAAGCGTTTATTTAAGTTTCTAACTACCACAGCGCCTGTGACTTGAAAGCATCAGTTACTGGAATCATAGCAGAAAAATCCGACACTCCATGTGAAAAAATCAATGGGCTGGACTTGCCTGCTGCCCTCTCAACACTTGCAAAATGTTTTCCCTCTTATTACATATCACAGTATACCCTACTGGCTCCAAAATGACACCAGCTAGACAACGCACCTTTGACGAGAAATCTGGTAATGAAGTAGATAAACTGGTAATATTGTAAACGTATACTGGAAAATAAGTTATTCCTAATATTTACATTTCAGTTTTGGAATGCCCTCTTAAGACTTTTTGGCCTTTCCTAAAGCTAAAAAGCTTTAGGAACTTTAACCTCTGACTCCCATCTCTCAGTTCATGTCATTCATGATCAGTAACAGAAGGAAGGGTGAAGATCTACCTGCCAGCATTCTTCACAAATCCAATATCTGCCAATACTTGTTGACAGATATCACAGCAGAAGCATTCTGGATGCCAACTATTGTTCATAGCTTTAATAACACGACCAATAATGAACTCACCTGTAAGAAACACAATACCAGGATGTAAAATACCATGCCAAACAAAGTTAAAAGAAAACCACAACCGAACCGCTACAATGACATTACCATCCTCTCCTCACCTAAAGCCCTCCTCCTCATCTGGTAGGATATATTGCTCTCAGTATTACAGTTTTGCTTCTAAACTCTGGGGTATGGTTTTGGTTGTTTCTCTGCTATGGGACAAAAGCAAATGTCCTTACTGACACACAACCTTCTCTTCTTTACATACAATCCCTTCTCCATGCACATTTCCCTTTCTCTCTGCAATCATCCTTTTCAGTCCCTCCCCTGGTTTTACTTACCTGATCTCCAACTCTTACGAAATACATGCACTTCCTTAGATAATACGGCTTCCTCTTCTCCTCGTAATTTTTTCTTATTCTTTTTCAGGGGAAGACCATTTTAAATGACATCTTTTACATATTTCTACTGCACTAGGGTCTGGAACCAAGATCTGAAGGGGCTCTGTACTCACTACACAATAGATGTGAGCTTGGGTGGCTTTGGATCCACTGCAAATGAACCATAGAGTCAAAACGCAAAGATACAGTGAAGTCTGGAGAATGGGTTTACTGATCAGTAAATCCAACACAAACAACTTCTGACCTACCTAGGAGTCCTGTCCTGTGAGGCATTAAGAAATAGTGTAAAAATTAAATTTGTGCAAGCACAGTGTGAGTATTCTGCACCTGGAACGGAGCCATGGCCACCACACGCATGATTTAGTCATTCTCTACATGGACATTGGGGCCAAGACTCCAGAGCACTGTAAAAGCTCTGCCTGGAACTTGTTGGGAACTCAGCTTCCTAGTGTTGAGGGAGGCTCAGTCCTGGCCCCAAAGAACATACAACTCAAACAGGCATCCAAGTGGAGTGATCAGGCAGGTAACATGCAAAAGAAATGAAAACTAACATTCAACTCCATGTCACTCCCATGAAGTCATAGCTTTTCAAGAATAAAACCTGATCAACTCCCAAAATGCCAGGCATGCTCACGGCATCATTGCTTACAACAGCCGTGTTGATTTTGGCCACCGTTACTAAATCCAAACACTGGAAAAGCCCGGTCCCCCACAGCCAAAAGAGCAAAGGGACCTGGAAGGCAGCTCTGCCAGCCAGTCACACCCTCCAGCTAATTCACTTACTCTTAACCCATTTGTTGGAACAAGTCAGTAAATAAAACTGATGAGGTTTTAACAGAGTTGGTGCTATAAGGAACTAGGGCAAGAGCAGCAGAAGCTGCTCCAGATGAGGAGCTGTGCCAGCTGAGCGGGGAAAACTTGAGATACGCAGTATCACTCCTCCTTACTACCCCTGGCTGGGGCACTTACCATGCCCAGCCAAAACTGGTTTAGGCCTTCTGCAAAGAAACTGCTGGGTGCTGAAGAGAAAAAGGTCCCTCTGCCTGACTCACCAAAGGGATCCCTCTGCCTGAGTCACAAAGAGATGAGCAGAACCTGGCTGCACGTGGAAGACGCTGGTGTGGAGGAAGAGCAGTGTTTTGGTTTTTGAGGGGTTAAATATGAGGTTTCACAGAACTCCTGAGAGGCGAGGAGCTGAATGCAGAAGAGGAAGCCCTAGCATAAGGGAACAGGATGGGACAGAGGAAGAGGACCCTGTGGAGTGAATGGAAGAACACACGGATCCCTCACACATGGACAGCAGCTGGTCTGCTAAAAGAACAAAATGAAAAACCTGGTCTGTCACATCCTTTAGGTTTGCTCACAAATTACTGCCAACCCCTTTCTTCCTCTCCCTGCTTCTTCAAATCTACAGCTTTAAATTCAAAGTCCAGAGCATCTGCTTCCCTCTTTCTCAATATTCAACCCCTCCCTTTGCACAACAGAAAGGCCTTACTAAGATTACTGAAAGTCATAGCAGATGTGCCAAGGTGTCACAGAAAAATAGGGTGCAATAGTGAAGTAATGACTTCTCAGGCCTGTCTAAGAAAGATGTCATACACAGAGAACACTGAAAAAAGCTTGGAAATGATTACAGTGCAGGAGCATTTACATCAAAAGTGGCAAATAAAAGGCAGCTAATTTGTTTCAAAAAGACAAAAGGGGAGCAGCTGATTCATCAGATGATTATAATGCTAGATAATAAAGACCAGCCTCGCTTGGAATAGGACAATGTGGATGAGTTACAATAGCCAAAACAGGTGACAAAGACTGGTTAGAGGCTTTCAGCTGCAGGAGAAAGGCCATAGGAGAGTGCATGCATATATGTGGGTATGCTTTATCCTACTAATAATCAGGAGGTCATGAATGGTCTGTTCCTTGGATCATTGAATCAACAGCCAAACTACTCACTCAAGTAACGCAAACATTTTTTTTAATCCTATTGTTTGATAACCTTTAGTAAAAGCCGCTCCCAAATTTCTCTGAAGTCCAGTTCTTTCTGGAACTTCTGATGCTCAGCTGCACAGGGCCACCTCCCGGGGAACATGTACACGGGTGGCAAAACTTGCCCCCAACCATGTATATTGACCTCCCGTTCATGATCAGTGTGAAGTATTTCACCTTGAGGTAACACTTACCGCATTGATGGCAGCAAGGAGCAAAAAGCATTTGAAAATCATGCTCGCAATACTTCCTCCCTTCAAACTGCAAATGGAAAATAAGCCAAGATTTAGAGATAAGGAACATGCCCTTTACATAAATACTGCAACATACCAGGTTGTTTCCAGATGCCACCGGGTAGTAAAAGATAAGGGGCTGCACAGAAAATAGACTACGTGCTAGAAAAACAGATACTAAATTCACCCACCTTAATTCAGCTACTAGTTAGCATGTAGTGTTAATAAAACTCTATTGCTTTAATACTGCTGAGAGAGTAGGGCATTTTTCTGTGTCACCCATTTACATCACAACAGACGTTTAAATTTTGACAGACTGCTGAAAACCTGCTGTAACTAACAGAATTCTGGGCAGGAAATTAGCTTACAGAAACCTTTCCTAGCGGGAAGCATTTTCCCTGAACCCATTTGATCTTTTCCCCACTCTACATTTCCTGTAAGAATAGCCCAGCACACTGGAGGAAATAAGTATGGGGGGAGGAGGAACACCCAGAGACAGATATCTTTGCAATTTATACAGCAGCACAGCCCAAGCATAAAGGGAAATAATGCTTTCCCTTCATGATGTTTATCTGAGGAAATGTGAAGGAACAAAATTCACTAAATCAATGAGATGAAATAGGGAAGCTGATCTTAAGGGATTTAGATTCGGATATGACTTTTCTCAAAGCTTAGAGAAGTTCAGTTGTAGTTCAAGCTCACACAGAAAAAAGCATGTGGGAAAAACAGTTTCAAGGCAGCTCTGCAGCACTGCATTAGCAGCTTAGCTGAATAATATGTAAAAACACGTAGACAAGTATGTCCTGAAATGAAGGGAAATGTTTAGATACCTTCAGGCACCTTATTACCAGACAGAAATGCCAACTAGCCATGTTAAAACCAGAAACACTATATTAGGTACGCTATAAAATGTTTGCATGCGGATGTCTCAAATTGAAACACTGGGAAAAGGGGGATAGCAGGAAGCCCCCATGCCTTTCTTTTTACTGGGTTTAATACAAAACAAAGCAAACTGCATAAAATACTACCTGCAAATGAAGTTTTGGTATATGGATAGAAAATACGGTGATATGCCTCAAGGTTAGCTGTTTCATACCATGAAATTCCACAGATCAAATGCAATATAGGTTTAGTAATTACTGGTACCACATACAAGAGCTATTGGCAAGGTGGTCATTTAATGAAGCAGCCTACAAGTCACTGGAAACTTGGGACCAGCAACTTAGCTCCTGTGCTCAACCTGAATCATGCCTACTATGAACAGAAAAACACGTGCTCTAGACAGAAGCTTCCAGAAATAGATGTCAATCATTTATGAAGTGCTTTTCAAGCGCAGTAAACTCAAACAGACGACTTTTTTTAACTGGAGCTTTCTTCTGGTTGAAAGACAGCGGGCTACTGCTGTCTCAAAGAAAAACTGAAACCTTTGGTTCCGTGAGAATTGAACTTGCTTCCTGCCAAACAATCTTCTTAAAACTGAGAAACCAGAAAGTGTCCTATTTTGTGTGAGCAGGCAATGGAAGTTGCACAGGTTTGCTTGGATTTCAGAGCCGCCACACGTTGATCTGGGCAGACCAAACAGGTTTTCTTTCCCTCTGGTTTGCGCCAGGCAGGTATATTAGGTTACCATTAAGTCTTGTTTATATTTTCAGCTTTTTTTTTTTTGGTTCATTTGTGCTGCAACCTTGGGGATGACCCAGCAGTTCATCAGTCAGAGAAAACCATGAACCCCAGTGGCAAATCCCACAGCATTTATTTTAGGATCAAGGTCATCTGACTGTGGTAGACTGGAGGTCCACGAATCCAATGTTTCTGCACACGACATTTCACCATGGTACAATCTCCAGCTGATATCCAGGTCTTTACTAACTTACTGGAAAGACAGGCACAAAAACTTCTTTAAAGGCCCTTCCTCTAAGGTACTTTCTGGCAAAGTCCATTTTTAGAAAGCACTGCAGGTGCAACTGGAGAAGAAGCAAAACTGACAAATTCATTGCAGCCTCTTTCTTTACGCTTTGTATGGGTTATTACAGAGGTCTTTTAAGGAAAAAAAGAAAACCTGAAAGGAACACTCTCCCCTCACCTACAAACAAAAGCAGCAAGTCACTCAGAAAAAAAAAAAAAGCTGCAACTTCCCTAAACGCTCACAAATACAAGTTTCCCATTATAGAGCTCATAAAGTATTTTATAAGGATTTTCTTGTGTTTCTTCCATTGTGGGAAGCACCTCTCTAAGTCCTTTCATCTCACCCGCCACAGCAGCACAGTGCAGAGCAGGCTGGGCCCCTGCAGAAAAAGCCCCTCTTAAGGGGTAGGAGTCATCTCTCCTAACTTCTGCTGGCTAAAAATTGGATGCGTAAAGCTAGGCCAGTCTCCTGGGTGCCCACGTGGAAGAGAATAGCTGTTCCTGAACCTACGGTGCGATGGGTCGGAGGAATTGCCCACTGACTAATTACACCTTGGGCCAGTCTTAGACTCCCCCTCTACCTGACAGCTCAGGGTTCAGCTCGGGCTGAAAGAGATTTCAGTACTGCAGGATCCCCCAGAGGTCTCTTCCTAAACAATTCTCTCTTATGTTTCCGGCTGTACGCAATAGCAAGACAAACGTGAGAGTGATGACTTGATGCAAGAGGCATCGCTAATTGTGCACTGCTATTTTCTTAACTGTACTGACTTCCATCAAGCTAAATTTACATCAGCATTCAGGGTTATATTTCATTGGCCCCCTGGACATGGTGGCCCCGAAGCTCCCCACGGAAGCAGGCTGTTCTGGCGTTATTAGTACAGGACTGCACATTGTTACACTTTGCTGGTATGAGTTTGAGCTAATTGCTGTTTAGGTTAAGTGCAGAAGAAGACATGCTAAGCTGATGATACTGAACAGAACAGAATACAGGTGCAACCTAGCAGGTCCCACCCCTGCGGCTCCTGTGCAACGTGAGGTGCAAAGCTCTCACTCACTCCCTTAAACCACAAGGCCAACACTGGCTGGAAAACTAGCTACACTATCATTTCTAATTTATGCTGAGGAGGACATCAGCAAAAATCCTAGGGAGCCTGGATATGATGCAAGTTTTCCAGGAGTTGTAGCCACCTTCAAAAGGAAAAAACTTCAAAAAAATACACTGAAAGTCCTTCCCTTTCCAGAATCGTTGCTATTGAGGTCAGTGCTATCTCCCAGCCACAGAGGAGGGCTGCCCTGGTACCTGCGAAGGGCTCAGCTCTGACACCGGACCGCAGCAAGCTACGCTGATCTGGGCCCACACACAACCCGGTGACACATCCAGCGACATGGATAACCCTACCAGTACACCCCCTTGCCAGGGGAGCAGAGCCCGAAAGCTTACCACTGCAGCATTTGAGTGTGAACGTGATAAGCAGCTTAATGACTAACTGGGGAAGGCTGCAACGCTTGAGATAGGTGGGGGAAGAATACCTGACTTCCCAGCTGCTAATAGCTGAAGATCCTTTCCAGGGAATACTGGCTTAGCTCAACCAGACACAGAATAAACAAATTAATGCAGGGCTATCAGCAACGCTTCCATTTACCCAAGGGGAACCTGCTCAGAAAAACACATTAACAGGCCACACCTCCAAATGCATCTTCTTAAGGGGTATATTAAACCAGTTTAAGGAAGATACCCTTTTTGCCTGTCTTCCTCACAGTGATACAGATCACCTTCAGTCCTCCAAGCACTGTCAGCCATCTCCTGAGCATCAGCCAACCTGAGCTCATCCTCTGCCTGCTTAGAGTTGTTCCTCCCTCTCCCCCAAATACTTTTACTCAGGACGTTCCCAACCCTCGTGCTGAGGTGCCAAGTCAGTGCTAAACCACCCACTCACATGAAGGAAGAGCAGGCTGTGCCCTTGCCCCTGCTTCTTCCTGAGCAGCACAACCAGGAAGCGTTCCAGGAGTCTCCACCACCATCATTTCACTGACCGCTTCACTGCCAAGTGAGCGCTGTTCTGGCGGCACAGGACACACGTGGATGCACTTGGACTAGCTCACCCTAAAGGGCCTGGCTGCAGACAGAGTAGAAGAACCCGCCAAAGATTTCCAAGCTGAAACAGCCAAAAAGGCATGAGGGCTGGGACAACACAGATACTCACCTCTCCTCTGTCTAGAAGATGCCCAGAACTGGCAAGTACAGACAGGAGAGGAAGTCTAAGTAAGATTTATTCACCTTAATCTGAAGGCTGTCAGACGTTTCGACATGCTTTTGAAAAGTCTCTCTCCAGCAACAGACAGACTTGCTGGTGTGGAGAGGAACTGCAAATTCTCATGGTGGACATTATAAGTAAGGGCTAGAGGCAGAAGGATTGCCCGCAGTTCACATATAACTCTTTGGATGTTTCCTTAATCCTAATCATAATTATTTTATTTCTGTAATAGCTGTGGCAAAAAGCGTCTATTCCTAACTTAAATTTTCCAGTTATCGTGTAACATTTCTGAACAACAAAGCCATTGCAAGCCTCTGCACAGTCTGAAAAAAATGCAGAACTTTACCAAAACGTGTTTAAGTACCTGGGGCTGTTTTTATTCCCAGGACAATCTATCAGCACTCACTTCTGACTTATTGTCTTTAACAGGAAGCATCACTTTGCAGTAAAAGAATGCTTAAAACCCAACCACAACGAATAAGGATGTTAGCACTGTAGCAGTAGGAAGCAAAACGCCTCTGTGCAGTGCACCCAAACACCACCGGGATGTTTGCCCCTGCTGAGGGAGATTCACCTAGGGCCACACATGAGCAACGGACAGGCTGAATATTCCTGGACTAGGTGCAAACAGACTTTCTTTCCACTATAGCCCTTCTCCATCCTCTAGGAGGTACAGGCTTTCTAGAACAGTATTTCTCAAACTTCCATCTCCAAGGACCATCCAACTTTCTGAAAGAGGTCCATGGATGGCCTGATTGTGCCATTGTTTTTTCACACTCAGGAAAAGGAAAAATAAATTACTCATCATTTAGAGAAACATTCTGTTGTTTTAAAGAAACGTTACTAGCACAAAAATGTTTTAGTTTTAAAGCATGTGTGTCCCTCTATACCTGCCTCAGGTCTTAACATGTCAGGACTGACTCTTTATCATGCCTGCGTGCAGGCAGCAACTCATATTAACAATTGCAAGATAATGTGCAAGCATCTTGGAGGTGTTGTGTTTTGTTTTTTAATTGCTACTGCTTTGCAGCTCACCTTTTGATGTCTTAGGGACCACTAGTGGCTCATTTACCACAAATTGTGCAACACTACCCCTAAAGCACTGACAAATCTTTTGATCTTCAAACAAGGTGAGAGGAAGCAAACCCCTGGAATCCCCCGTGCCAGTCTCTTTCCCAACCAGCCACTCCTCCCTCGGCTGCCTCCTCATCACCACATGGCATGGCTCTGTACAATTGATTTAAAATATTACTGTGAAAATAATCTGCTGTGCTCTTGACACAGCAATAACACCTTGTATGTGAGAGCACAGTTTTATGCTTTTAACAAACGGCCAACCTTCCTTTGCAGATCATAATATGACATAAATCCTGCAACCGCTATTGTATGTTGTACTACAAACTATCTGAGCAGGACCTTATTTCTACCTGCTTTGTGAAGTGCTACGTACATTTGAAGCACTGAATAAATGGATTACATATAAACTAGGCATGAACTAAGAATCTGGCATAAGAGTCTATCCTGACTCTGCATTACACGTCAAAGTAAGCTAAGAACACCTTTTTGCAAAATTATTGGATTGGAACTACTCTTAGAGCTGCTCCAGGCTTCCGGTGTGATCACAGACAGTGGATTAGAACAGGGTTTTCAGAAATGCCTGAAGAAATTTGATACTTATTATATTATACTTTAATCTTTCTGAGCCTTTGCTCCCCATCTGAAAACTTCAGCTAACAATTCTCTATCTCACCAGCTCTACCCTCCCTTATAGCAATTGCTTCATACTTTATGAGCTAGTCTCAAGCTTTTACTAAAGCCGCTTTGTACTTGAAATAGCTAAATACTCATCACAGGCGAAGGGAAAAGAAAACTACATTAATATTAAAATTCACCTCTGAGCTGAGGGCAATCCATCTGGGGCAGAGAAAGCGAGTGGGAGTGGTTTTTGCTTTTGAAAGCATTTGAGAACTGCTAATTCAAAACATCCCAGTTTGCTCTGCTCTGTCTAGAATTGACCTGACTTATGCCTCATTTGGGTTTGGGTGACTGCACACCTTTCCCTCAGCATGCTGACTTACGGACCAACATTTCAACTGCAGCGCTGGCCCCACAGAGCTGAGCAATAAGCCTCCTACGGACTACGGGAGGTTGGGATTTCACTCTGTCTCAGTTCTGCTATAAAAAGAACGTTCTCTACCTACGTCTCATAAAATATATAGATTTTCTTTACAGATTCCAAGGAAAAAATTCAGGACTGAGAGAGAAATCTCCAGCAGCTTTTTCGCAACTCTGACAACATTACGTTGCACACTGAAGTAAGATATACACAGTGACAACCTCCAAGTTTGCACAAAAGTATTTCTACTTTTTTCACCGTCTACTGGGCACATTCTTTCAGAGCACAATTTCTGCCACAGCACTTTCCAAACTATTGATCCGTCTGTATTTACTTCTTGTACAAGAATGAAAAAACAAGCCAGAGAATTGGGGCAAGAACAACCTTCTGCCTGGCTTACCTCGTAGAAGAGCCCTTCGGGAAACTGCTGAAAGCACTGGGCACACACAAAGCACTGCTCGTGGTACAGTTCACCGTTGCTGTTGACAATTTTCTCTGCAGGTGCAAAGCCGCCTCTGCAGCGCTCACAGATGGCATTTGCAAGAGCATTTGCCATGTTGCTGTCATAAAAAAGAAACAAGAAGAAAATGAGCCAAAACACGCAACCCCACTGATTTTAGTTCATCTCTTTTTTCCAAAGCCAACTGTTTCAGCCTAATGCTAAGCTGCTCAACGAAAGCTTGTTCATGCACTTAATGGCTTGTGGCATTCCCTCAGAAATAAAACGGTCGTTTCCCCCCTGCCCATAACTCTTTAGAAATAAAAAACCCACAACACAGTCTAACAACTGCTAATTTAAAAAACAAACAGAAACATCATTACAGATACATTCATAGGCGTTTAATGAGGGGAAAAAGCAGGTGATTCAACCAAGTACTATAAAAATGAAAAACTAAATACATGAGAATCATGGAAAACAAGGGCCAACGTTAGCAGTAATTAACACATTAGAATAATGTTCACATTGGAAAACATGAATGATAAGACAGTCCTAAAACATACGTAACACCATTGGTTCAAAAGCTTTAAAATAGCAATGTGAAAGCATATAAGGTATTTAGTCTAGCAGAAATTACTGAAAACCAGAGAAAGCAAACCATTATTCCTTACATTGGTTTCACATAGCTTAAAGTCATTTTACAAACGTAGTTTAAAGTCATGGGGGTCTTGGTTTGTTTGTTAAGGTTAATCTTAACGAGATCAGCTCCCTACATCAGCTCGCTCTGTGCCGGCCTCAGCGCGGGGCCAAGGGAGAGGGTGGGACTCTCGGGCTGCAGTAGCAGGCTGGGCCACTGCAACCCAGACTTAGGCCAGCGCAAACTGCCACGGGACCCCACGCTGGAGATGCAAAAAATACTCAATAGCCACCCTAGCTGCTTCTCAAAGGCGTGTGGCTATAAAATGCCAAGGGGGTATCTGTAAAATACCGGAGGGATTAGCTACTTTGTCAGGAGTAACTGGGTTACAGTTAATTAAGAATCTAGTACCAGGAAAACGTTTATTTGATTTTAACTCTGCCAGTATTTTCTCGCTTCCATCTAGCCTTTCCAAGCTATGCCTTTCAGGATCACCTCTCTGCGCCAATAACATTTGACAGCAGAGAGCAAATACAGGGCAATGGTCTAGGTTCATACAATCCGACCACAACTGACAAAACCAACAATTCAAACATCTATCTGGAAGCTTATCAAAGAATTAGGGTTATTTTAAACGCAGATACGCACACGCACACATTCGTTACCAAAAGGTATGCATGTGCATACGTCTATTGTGGGCACGTTTTGGTACAGAGAGGAAAAAATCACGGTGCACCCGTAAACGCAGAGGACTCGGTCCTCTGCAGGATGTCAAGCCCTTCCCTCCAAGGGGCTAAAACCTGCTGGCTCGCACTGGATCCAAAAGCAATTGAATCAATTCCTTATACAGCACCAGAGTTAGCAAACGCGCACCGATCACATGGTTCAAAACAAACGTGCTTTATCTGTTTCTTACATTGTATAACAGAAGGGCTGCACGCAAGGTCACATTTGACCCGTTATTATTCACTGCTTTCTTTTTCCTCTCTAGAGCCCTTTGCAGAAGGTGGCAGCAGTAACCGATACCAAAATATTTACCACCCTCTTAGTGAAGCGAGTGGGCGAATCTCACAGAGGAGAGCAGACTGGAGAACGCTCTACGCCATACGTGACAACCCACAAACATGCTGAAAAGCTGCAGCAATTCTGTGTTTAAGCAGTGGTTCACCTTGCAGCTAGCCAATGCCCTCCAAGGACAGTGTGCGGTTCACGAGGGGGGCAAAAGCTCAGTCACTTCACCCATCCTTATCCTTCAATCTGAACGAACAGCGATCGCAACGTAACTTGGGATCTTTCATTATCACCTCGACAGCTCTGGAATACTAAGGATGTTCAACTTAAAAAATTATTTAATGTTAAGTGCTGTCAGACACAACGTGTGATCCAAGCAAAACTATGAAACGTAGACACTTGGAAAATAATTACATGAGAGCACAAAGCTTTCCTTCTAAAAATGCAAAAATACTGGTTCACTTTAATTCGAAACACATGTGTAAAAACACCAATCTACGCAACACTTCTGTTATTAGTGGTCCAGTTTACACATTTCCCCATAATAAGCAGCAAACGATCTCAAATCAGAAGTCAGAGAGACTACTCTACAAATGCCAAAGCGGTACCAGCTACTACTAAAAATTTCTGACGCAAGTAATGATTAAGTCTACAGCAACGGCTCAAATTTTAGTTGATGATTACAACCGGCAACGTCTCAAACAGGGAACAGTGGCAAAGGTTGCCTTAGAGAGTGACTTACACTGTCTACCCAGAGCTCAAGTAATAATAACAAACAAAAAACAAAAACCACACACACACACACACACGTACAATACACAAATAATTTTACTGAAGTCACACGCCGAAGCTGAACAAAATTAACTTACAATCTTGCATAAAAGTCACAAAACTCTTTGTAAACTTTTATGTCACTGTGCCTACGCTGCAATTTTGACACTGCTTTCTCGCCTTCGTTTCCCGTGGCGTTGGGGGCAGCGGGAGCCGCCTCGCGCGGGACCTCTCCATCCTCCGGGATCACATAAGGCCGAGCTCTGCTTTGGAAATCCATGCCGCTTTAATCGCTTTCCAAGAGTGAGATATTCGCGGTATAGGCAGAAGTCGGCAAAACGACGCGCTGGACCTCCCCCCCCCC